TTCCATGTGCTATTTCCGTTTAATTTGTCAATTTACTCCCAACCAACCAACCGCCGCTAAAGAAGTTTCGCTTAAAAAAGTTCCTGTGCATTGAACTAAACCTCTATATTTCTATCTTATTCAACTCTACGTCGGGCTCGAGGTCATTTGAGGGTCAAACAGCGAAGTATTCGTAAATTAGGCCTGAAAATTCATATAAATTGTGGCTTTTTATACTCGCTTAATCCAAATCCAAAGTCCGTTAACCTCTATGAGGTCATGTCAAGGTGATCTCAAGGTTAAATTCAGAAGAATTTTATTGCATTTTCAGGTTTATTCAATCAATTTTTCTCGGTAAGACCCTCAAATGATCTCGAGGCTAACAGACCTCGGATTTGCATTCAATCCGTCGATGAACATAGGGATATAGAGGTTTGGTTCAATATGCAGAAACTTTTTTTGTAAACACATTTTATATTATTCCCAAATTTAATTCATCAATATTTTAAAGTGTTTCGCATCCCTTTTTAACTTAACTATGCCATTGTGCTCATTATTTCAGCGCTACAATAATCACTAGTGTTGAAGTGTCACAGAATTTGAGCTGGCTTTATGCCAAACTTAGACATGCATGCAAGAAAAATTCTCGTATTAGGGATTTTTATACACACAAACATTCTAAAATTGATTTTTCGCTGAAGAATCCATATTAAATTCTTTTTCTAAAACTTTGTTTTAACAAGTGTCTCAGTAACAAGCAAATCTTACCTAAAAATCTGCAGGAGAAAATTTAGAAACTTACATAAGCTGAAGGATAAATTCACTATTAAGCTGTTGAACTGCCAAACATTCAACAACAAATCTACATCACCCTCATAAACTCTTAGCCGCTAAGTGCACCAAGAGTATGTCATTATTTTCTTATGAATATATTTATACCTACACACCTGTGGCCGAAATAGCTCACTTGCTATTCAAGCGCTGTAGAAAAGAATGAAAAAAATTTAAACATACATTTTTCATACCTAAGAAAAAGACATCAGCACGTAAGTAAGAAAAACGATTGCTTGGCATTTCGGTTAGAACAAAAGCGCTTTCTTTGATATGCAAAGATGTAGCACAACTGAAGATGTTTGAAGAACTGGGTTATCTGTTGTTAATACTGAGTACATTCGAGTACACAAAACACTCTATTGAATAGGCTTTCAAATGCGTTCGGTGATTCGGTTTCAAATGTTGAGGTTTAGGGCTGTTCACTCTTTTGTACTTGGGTACCTCTTTAAATTTCACTCTATAGAGATGTGAACTGCTATTATGTCCATGGCTGTAGATAAATATCTCTGTGGAGGTTCGCAAGCTGCCTCGACGTATTAACGTTCCAATCTGGCTACATGAGTGCTGTTTCACTGGGGATATTAAGAAGATCTCAACTTGCATTCGTCTGCTTAAGAGATAACTCCCTTTTAATGAGCATGTGTAGTTCCTTCCAGAATGGAAAAAATGGAAGTTCTATCTTAAGTTTGTTTGTCATCTTGTTGGTTAGTATCTAACTACTTATGCCCTAGTCTTAGCAAAATAAGAAAAGGATAAAGGCAAAGGTAAAAATACAAAACAAAAGCAAAGATGCGTAAAGATAAAGGCAAAATTGAAGACCAAGGTAAATTTAAACGCTTTACTTATATATATAAGGGCAAAGGTGAAGGGGAATATGTAGATGAAGAAAATGGTAAACATAAAAGTGAGTTAACAAAGATGAGGATGAGGATAGCGATACAAGTAAAGAAGAAGATAGGGGAAGAAAGACTAAAATAAAGGTAACTAAAGAGGCAAGGATATAGAGGGAGACACAGAGACTCAGTCTGGGATCTATTTTGGGATTTTAGAAGTTTTCGGGATTCTCGAATATAATCGATATTTTTATCGGTTTTGTTATCGATATTTTTATAGATTTGGTTATCGAAATTTTTATCGATACTGTTATCAATTTTGCAATCAATACTTTCGAAACTTATCGATATTTTTATCTATTTGTTATCTATTTTGTAATCAATTTTTATACCTTTCATGAGCATGAAATGGTATTATAACTTTGGTCCGATGTTTGTAAGTACCAGAACAAAAAGAGATAGACGCATTAAAATGTATACTTATATGATCAGAACGTCGAGCTGAGTTGATTTAGCCATGTCCGTCTGTCCGTCTGTCCGTCTGTCTGTCTGTTTGTATGCAATCTAGTCTCTCAGTTTTCGAGATATCCGTATCAAATTTGGTAGGTGGGTGTATTTTTATAATGTATTAATCATTTGTCGGAACCGGAAGAATTGGACCACTATAATATATAGCTCCCATACAACTGATTGTTCAGATATGAGATTTTTCGTTATAACTTCTCCATTTATGCAGCTACGAACATGAAATTATGCAGTACTTGCACCCATTATCAACAGCATACTTACAGTGAAAATTACAAAGATCGGGTCACTATAACCTATAGCTCCCATACAACTGATTGTTCAGAT